ATTTTCTTAGATTTTACGGTTTATCAACCCTTCGCAGGTTACTCAAATCCAGAAAATATTTTTAGATTGAAAGAATTCTTTTTTGAGATAGTAATGACTTATTGACACAATTGCTTCGAATTGATTAAATAGAGGAGGGGGTTGAGGTTTTACTGTTGTTCAGAACACTCTTGCACAACTGCCAATAATCTCTAGAAACGAACTTACGAGATGCTATACATTGTTTCGTTCTAACAATAAACAGCAGCTTCCTTTCTTTGAGGACACGCTTGTACTCATTACGAGCAGACACAAAGAGACGTCTGTTAGAATCAGACATATCACGATGGTACAGCCAGAAGAAATGATTCCTGTGGGTTATAACGACCGAGCATGCGGGTGAGAATCAAGGAGATGAATGTAATTCAACTTGGTATTTCCTTGCTGGAATGAAAGCATTGATACTGGTTTTCACCCAGGAGGAGACCTCCGACGCACGTTTTTGAACAGCAAGATTAAAAACTTCATTCCAAGAGACGTCACGAAGGAAATCACGGAATGAGTCCCAATCCGTAAGTTAATAACAGATATTCTGTTGGTAGGAGGTTCTTGGTTGGTGGGGGAGCGGAAAGAGATGTTTACAGACACTATAGGATGATCAGAGTTGCCAAGAGGGCAGAACTGTATGGTACGACATAAGTTTGGTGCAATGCTACAAGTCTGAGGCACCCAATGAGGATTGTTTTCACTACAGATGCAAAATGAAGTCGTAGCTTTCTATTATTCTACGGCGAAGCGCCAAATGCTTGACAGTGTTGAGACTTCTTGCCAAGCTCTCTTCTATATAGAAATAAACTAAACATATGCAAGAGCTTAAAAATATTTCTTGCATTCTACAAGAAATATTGCAAGGAAAAAAATTGTGTGAACAATATCATGTTTAGTCGAGTCTCTCAGATAAAGTAATTTTTATTAAGAATTTTGACTATTTTTTTCATCTTTTTTCTCAGCGTTGTCGGTCGACTCGCTCTTTGACCGTTATATTAAACACTATGAAATCAGAATAAATAACTTTAGCAAGAATTAAACTCGTCTCACATGGATGACGCCTGAAATAATTCAGTCATAGAACCTGCATAGTTATGATCGATTAATTTGTTTTTTTTACGGATTATCAACCCTTTGTGTGTTATTTAAAGCCGAAACATATTTTGGATTGTAAGAATAATTCTTTTTTTTTTGCGAGTGAATATTGCATTAACAATGATTTCTCCAGATACAAGTCTTACTATTTAAGCCATCGTCGGCGGAAAGAAATAGATTCATACCTTTCCTAAGTGTAAGTGAGGTGTAAGTGAATGTAACGAGCCCTAATGGAATTTGAACTCTGTTCTCGGATTTCTCATACCTAGGCACTATCAATTACACCACCTGCACATTCCAGCTGCATACTTAAATACGGCTTTTATCTATAGTCATTCTGCTACTCTTTCAATTTATCTTCGTCATCATATTGGTTGTCCAGCTGTGAAGATAATAATATTAATAATACTAGATTCATGGATTTCTGTACATCAGAATTGATAACGGACATGACAACTAAAGAAATAAAGAATCGCCCCCTCCTCCTCTCATCACCTACTCCTCCCCTCCTACTCCTCATTATTATTATTATTATTATTATTATTATTATTATATACAATCGTGACGTTCTTGTGACAGTGCTAGAGTTCCGATGTTATTTAAGAATTGCCGACACTGGAGTTTGAACACAGATCACTAGAGAATAAACACAGGCGATCCCATTTTGAATAATTAGATCACGTGATGCCAAAGGAAATGTATATATGGGAATTAGCGTGGCGTCTAATTGATCACTATTTCTACATTATCCTCTATTACTATACAGATCGCTATTCTCTATTCTATTCACTATATTATTTCTCTATACGGATCACTATTCGATGGTTACTATTCGTGCGAGTGTTATTCGAAGGCGCCTGACACTAGTATTGTTCAACGGCGTTACTATAGTTGTATCTGCGATTACAAAGCCTCTACTACAACAAGCATTAAGAAAGTGACAACGAGTATTCGTTGACATTACAAAAGTGGCAACGGGTATTCGTTGACATCACAAAATCCTATAACTGATGATGGGAGATAAAAATAGAATTGAGCATATGTCTTTCCAAAGAGAATTCAACAGACGTCTTTCCAAAGAGAACTGCGCATTTGTCTTTCCAAAGAAAGTCACATCATGAATTAAAACTTTGACGGTCAATTTTTTATTCTTTTTCACGAAAGGCACATCAGAATGGGAAGTGAAATGGTCAATTTTCCAAGAAGTTGTAGCCATGTCAGTCTTTCAAATATATAAAACTTTCAAAATAAGAAAATACTGTTAATATTTTTGGACACGGATGGAAAAAAACGGGAATAATAGAAGGAAATTATTTTTTTAACAAAATTAATGGAGAAAGTAAACTACAGAAGATTCAAGTCAAGGAAAATTGCAGAAATAAAAAGTGTAGAAAAGAGAAGATAAAAAGAGAAGGAAGGGAAAAAGAGAAGGAAAAAGAAAGAATAGAAAAAGAGAAGATAAAAAGAGACGGAAATGAAAAAGAGGAGGTGAAAAAGAGAAGATAAAAAGAAGCGTTTTTATAAATACAGAATCAGGAAAAAATACAGGTAAAATAATCAAGTACGCGCTAGAGAGAGAGAGAGGGAGAGAGAGAGGGGAGAGAGAGGGGAGAGAGAGAGAGGGAGAGAGATAGAGAGAGAGTGGGGGAGAGAGAGAGAGAGAGAGAAACGAAGTAAATGGAATTTTCCATGCGATATGATCATGCAGAAATATGGACGGCACATGGCAAGCAAAAAAAAGCTGCAAATAATTTACGCGGGGATAAGGCGTGGCTTTGCAGAATATCAGTTATTTGCTATGCGATGGGAAAGACCCACCCAGTTGAACAACAATTATCATTGAGTATCGTCGTTTATTTATGCGCATCTATAAACGTAGATTCGTCTATAAGGTCACAGCCTCGTGATAAGAAAACACATTTTTCATAAACACATATTTAACTTTAAGCATGATAACTATCATTGTCAATATACTTAACCTAGAATTTCTCTATCGATCAAATAAATCGAATATTATACAATGAACATTTAGACAAAAATACAAGTAATATACTATGTCAGCCTACAGACTAATTCATCAACCATTAAGGTCTACCATTCGTCTATGCTTAGAATATTGCTGCCACATATGCTCTGATGTCCCTGCTATTTAACTTGAGATAAGATCTAAAGAAGAATCTGTAATATTATTAGTCCTGATCTGGCAGCTCAGCTCCAGTCACTTTCCCTCCACCGTAAGGTTGACTCTCTATGTCTTTTCTATAAATACTTTCATGGTAATTGTTTGGATGTGCTCTTCACTATGGTACCTAGAGTTTTTTTTTTTTATTTAAGCAAAGCACTAAACTGGTGTTGAGATCACATCAATTTACAGTTGAGCTGACAATGTAGCCGTAAATTCTATGCTAATAGTTTCTTCTCTTGCAATTTTCGCTTGGGGAACTCCATACTTTCCAATCAACTTTAAACTGCAAAAATTTAAATGCAATGTCAATCGCTATCTACGGTCCACCTGAATACTCTCTTCTCTTTCTGCTCATCATTAATGTTTCTGTTCCTAATTCTTTCACATCCTGCAAGCCCTGGTGTTTTAGTGGCTTTATTGCCTTGCTTGGGGTGATTCCGATTTTAAAAAATAAGGTATGAAGAGTTAGCAAAAAGTGATTCAACGAAATTTTGTTAAATGCAATCGACAAGATCTGTCTGATTAATTTTATTTTTTTCCCCCAGTTGTCGAATAAGATGCACATCGGGATCAGAATTGTAGATAAACTGTTTAAATTCATATTTTGTTCTGTTTCTGTTCAAATACTTTCGACTATCTCCGTCATTATCAAGAACTGGGTGTTACCAATATGATGGATTGAGCAAATCTAACTAATCTAATCCACTTCAGGCCTAGAGTTGCTGTTTTAAATTGGTAACAATATATTCATTTACTTAAACCATCTATATTTTATGTTGTAAATTGAAAGTAATTTAATTCATGAGAAATTCAGGATTGTGTTACTTGACACAGCCCACACCACACAAGATGTTAGACACATTTTGTTCACACTGCAATAACTCGAGGGCAATGTAATGAAATTAAACGAAGTTGGATATTTAGGAACGATATGGAAAGGTTTTAAAATAAAGCTATTTTATACAACCTGAGCTTTAAAGCACTAAAATGAAGCACTTTTTTTTGGTTTAAGACATCTAAAAATAGTTAACAAAACAAATGGAGAAAATATTGATCATACATTTTTTGCGACAGTTTTACATTGGTTTTATTGTAAACGTCTGGTCGCTACAATGCCAAACACATTCAGAAAGCTTAAAGAAAACTGTGATGCCATCTCGCTTAATCTCGTGCTAATTTTGATTAGCTTAATCCAATATTGTTTTTGACAAGAAGTCATTATTCTACTTGTCTGCCAATAAACCGCTAACGACCCAAAGCAGTATATAAGGGACGCGAAAGTCATTCTTTTGATAGATAAAATGCCATAAAGATAAAACTTGTCTCGTTTCTTTCTGGGGTATCTTTCAGTCCACTGCGAACCTCATGTCTTATTGTATACAACACAGAATAGCACACAGTATACAATGCTCTAAGTTAACTTGATTAGACGCAGATATATTTTTTTAAATTCTTTTACCCCATGCAAAATATAAAGCCAATAAAACGCAAGAGGTTACTATGTGTGAGAGAATATGAGAAAAAAAAAACATTAATGAGTGAGAACAATAAAAGAACAGGAGTTAAAAAGATAACTTTTGACATTGCATTTAAATTTTTGAAGATCAAACTTGACTGAAAAGCAAAAAGCCGGAAGATAGTTCCACAGGCGAGAAGTGCGAAAGAAAAAACTGTTAGCATCAGCACATCCAAGCTTACGGCACCTGATATAACCAAGCGATCACTGATCCAGGTACTGACCAGGCTCGACATAGCTTAACTTCAGTGATCGTACGGGAACAGGTGTTTCAACATGATGTAGCTGTAAGCCCAAAACGTTATCAAAGAGAGATGACAATAAAAGAACAGGATTTATGTCGATAGAAGATGATTATTGACGTTGCGTTTAAATATTTTTGCGTTTACGACTGGTCTTCACCTTAACATAGAGAGCACAGACAATGTGTGTCGTAAATGTTGTAAAATCGGGTCGTTAAAACCTTGGATATGGGAGGAAGAGAAACATATGCAATAACATTTAAAAGACTCTGTTTATACAAACATAAAACCAGATGATTCACCCCAATGTATGCATATCCTGTCTCTCTCTTTTACTCGTCTTTACCACTCTTTCTTAATCTTTTCTCTTTTTTTCCTCTTTCTTTCCTCTTCTTCAACTCTTTCAGTCACCGACATCTCCAGCCAGCCAGCCCTTCCGCTTGTTGGCCTTCCACTGATGTTTGTTGAGGGCGAAGGCGACATTTGTAAAAACCGTGTACTGCTAATATTTTTGAATTCCACCGTGTAGATGAGTGGGGATTGGTGTGGTTTAACAGAGTCATGATGTTTTCAAATTCCCTCTAGCCCTTTGCAAAAGGATCATTTGCTGTAATTATGTTGTTTTCTCTCGTTTTTGAATTATTAGGCCGATCATCTGCTAACAAGAGTTTTTATAATAGAATTTACTCAATACGAGGCTTGAGAGCTACTCCAGGTAGGTGGTTACTAATAAAATGGTAATTGTGAAATGTTTGTGACATGAATTAAACCGATAAAAAGTGAAGATATTGAAGATACAGAAGATAGATAGCGATTGACTTGGGGAGGTTAAGATTGAAGACTTCAGGGAAGTACTTACGCGGGAGTCGGTTAGGCAAAGTGACATATCTTGGGAAAAAGGTGTCTGAGTGGAACTTTTTGGAATACAGAATATAGAACAATGATGGTTTTTCGACTGCGTGGAAGTAACCTGGCGTGACCTAACTGAAAAAGTTTCAGCTGGTGGAACCAAAAAGTAGAGCTGTTTTGAACCTTTGCCATGGAAATAGCGATAGAGTAAAGATAGGCTGCGGCGAAAAAGGCTTCAGAGTGGAAAATTAGTCTCCCCCCACAAGACTACCTAAATGATTTTGAACTCTGTCAAGATTGGAAAGTGTTGGCTGCAATGATGTATTTATTGGACAAATCTGCCTCTTCTCATAAAAGATACTGGGAAGAATTACAATCATTTCTCATTCAAATGTAAGAATGTTGTATGAACGGAAAATACCAATAATTTGTACACGAATGTAGTTTTGTTTCTACAAATAATTTATATTCTAAAGGTTTCTTGCGCAATGGCAACTGTTCTTCGTTTCTGAAGGAGTTTCGGATTTTACATTAGCAAAGTACAATGGAGACTCTTTCCGAAACTGCTTTACAACATTGATAGACACGGGTGGCAACCTGCACACCATTTGGTATCTGTTGTCTGGAATACTGATTAATTTCTTCAGAACTTTATTAGCTTCGTGTAGACAACGAAGCCCATGGCCCGTGCCATAGATACAAACCCATTTATCCATCTAGCCAAGGTTGGGAAGGATAGGAAAATGATGGAAACAATTGATTTTTACTTGTTTGGTTGATTTTTACCTGTCCTGGTGAGTCTTGGGTTAATTCCATATTCGAATCTTCAGATTCTCCTATTATTATATTTCTAAAGCTTCAATTTTTAATTAATTTCATTTCGCTGCAGTAAACTTGCCTATCTTGACAGATCAAAAACATCTACGCGGACTTGTGTGTAATGAGTTATTTTCCACCATACTCCATTGGGCATGGGATGATTGAAGCCGCATAATACTCCATTCGGCATGGACTCCTTGAAGGGGCATCATACTCCATTGGGCATGGTATGCTTGAAGGAGTATCATACTCTATTGGGCATTGAATATATGCAGGTGTATCATGCTCTATAGGTCATGGGATGCTCGAAGGAGAATCACACTCCATTGGGCATGGAACACTTGAAGCAGTATCATACTCCATCGGGCATGGGATGATTGAAGCAGTATTATACTCCAGTGGGCATGGAATACATGAAGGAGTATCATACTCCATTGGGCATGGTATGCTTGGATGAGTATCATACTCTATTGGGCATTGAATACACGAAGGTTTATCATACTCTATAGGTCATGGGATGCTTGAAAGAGCATCATATTCCATTGGACATGGAGTGATTGAAGGAGTATAAAAATCCATTGGGCATGCTATACATGAAGGAGTATCATACTCCATTGGGCATGGAATGCAGGAAGGAGTATCATAATCCATTGGGCATGGAATACTTGTAGGAGTATCATACTCCATTGGGCATGTGATGATTAAAGCAGTATCATACTACATTGGTCATGGCATACATGAAGCAGTATCATACACCATTCGGCATGGAATACATGAAGTATTACCATACTCCATTAAGCATGGGACGCTTGAAGGTATATCGTACTCCATTGGGCATGGAATACTTGAAGGGGTATCATACACCATTGGGCATTGAAGGAGTATCACACTCCATTGGGCATGGTATGCTTGAAGGAGTATCATACTCTATTGGGCATTGAATACACGAAGCTGTATCATACTCTATAGGTCATGGGATACTTGAAGGAGCAACATACTCCATTGGGCATGGAACACTTGAAGCAGTATCATACTCCATTGGGTATGAAATACAAGGAGTATCATACTCCATTTGGCATGTAATACTTAAAGCAGTATCATACTTCATTGGGCATGGAATACTTGAAGGAGTATCATACTACATTGTGCATGGAACACTTGATGCAGTATCATACTTTATTGGGCATGGGATGATTGAAGCAGTATCATTCTACATTGGACATGATAGGCTTGAAGGAGTATCATAATCTATTGTGCATAGAATACTTGAAGGAGTATCATATTCCTTAGGGTATGGAGTACTTGAAGAAATATCACACTCCACTGGGCTTGGAATACTTGAAGGAGTATCATACACCATTGGGCATTGAATACATGAAAGTGTATCATACTTCATTGGTCATGGGATGCTTGAAGGAGTATCATACTCCATTGGGCATGGGATTTATTTTCCTTTTTTCTTGACTAAAAAGAGTCAAAATATCATTTTTGAGTTGCTGCATAAAATGAAAGTGAAAATAAGGATAAAACTACCATTAAAAATGAGTTTTCTCGTTTCGCTCGTGCAACCCTTACTTGTCATTTAAGGGTTAATACTTTCCATTGTAAAATCACATCCATATTTCTCTGTCACGAAACATTATTTTCTTTCTTCACTTCATTCCTTTATCCTTTTTTTTTCATTAGCTTTACTTAGTTTTTTTCATTTCTTTTTGGGAGCAAATCTTTTTCTGCTCTGATTCAACAAGATTAGAATTTTCTGCTCTTTTGTTCTCCACCTTAAGATTGTATGCAGTTTATGAGATCATCTTTTGTTACTGAATGTAATTCTACCTTTTCATATCTCTCCTGGTATGTTCATATTTATTTCTCTTGGTCTTTTCTCTCTCTATCTTCACACACACACACACACACACACACACACACACACACACACACACACACACATATATATATATATATATATATATATATATATATATATATATATAAAACAAAGATATTTTACGCCTAAAAAAAACCATCGACTAGCATTACTGGTGAATAACCCTTTTTCAGTCAAGCGGTTTTTGTAAATAAATTTCTCAATATGAAGAAAAAGTGTATTATTAGTGAATAAGTAAATAAAAAGTTCAAAGACGTATCTCTCTACAACAAGTTTCACAGAAATAATCCGACCTTCAGGTGCAAGATTTATAAATTGTTATATATATTTACTTATTTTATATTTTATGTTAATATAAATCAATATATATCTTCCCTTACTCACCCGGTGGCATATATACAGAGCTGGTTAAAGAAGCCGTGTGAAAATGAAGTCATCATACAGTGTTTATTGTTGTGTTCACACTGTCTATATATTTAAACGCCCTATCTCCGATAATAAACACTCTTCCCCTAAAAGAATTGTACCCTTGACGTTTCATCTTGGGTCAAAGCCGATATCGATATTCGCACCAGTCTGTTCAGCCGCTATAGCCCACAGGAACCACTTTCTCCGGCTATACCAGTGTGACTGTTCTAATCACAACAGACGCTTGTTCGTGGCTGCATGTAATAAATGTAAATGTGTCTTTGAAGGCGATAATATTTGTTTGCTGATAGAATGCGGCAGCGTATAGCCTCTAACAATTTTAGCTCTTGTGATTATCGGCGGCTATGCAATAGTGCACTAAATATGTGTAAGTTCTCTATTTCTCCTTTCTTCAATTAATTTGAGGTGTTAACATTTGCTGATAGAGCTGAATATTTTGTCCGTATATTCACTTCAAACTCTACTTTTAACAAATCTGGAGTATCCTTGCTTGACTTTCAACTTAGAACTGAGTTTCTGTTAAATGATATGCATATAACTCCTTCCGATTTTTTCTGCTATAGTCTCTAATCTGGATCCCCATCAAGCATGTGGGCCTAATGGTATCCCTGTAATAGTGCTTAAGAAATGTGCTCCTGAACTGGCTCCTGTTCTCTCTAAACTCTATTACAAATGCTTCGCTGCCTCTTGCTTTTCTGTTCGAAATCCACCTCTGTTGTCCCACTCTTTAAGAACTCAGGTGGGCTGTCAGACACTTCTAACAATCGGCTGTCTAACACTTCTAACAAACAGTCTATTAGCATGACTTTTACCTCCTTTTAGCAAAGAACTAGAGTCTCTAATGAAATTTGTTAAGCATCTCACATAACAGGGCCTTCTTTCAGACAATGTGACTTTCGCTTCTCTAGGTGAACTGTTGATGCATTAACGATTATTGCTGAAAGTGTCTATCAAACTTTAGATAAGAATGGTGAAGCTCGGGATGTTACTTTGAATATCTTGAAAGCGGTTGACAGGGTTCGTAATAACGGTCTTCTTTGCAAGTTGAAAGGTTTTACTA